GTGCTGGGGGAAAGTGGGACATAGAGGGGGGGTCTTTGAGGGGTGCTGGAGGAAGTGGGACATGAGGAGCAGCTCTGAGGGGGAAAGGGGAATTGGGGGGTCCCTGAGGGGTCCCCAAGCCCGCGGTGCCCCCTCCCCAGGTGAAGTTCATGAAGAGCAAGCCGGGAGCAGCCATGGTGGAGATGGCCGATGGGTACGCGGTGGATCGCGCCATCACCCACCTCAACAACAACTTCATGTTCGGGCAGAAACTCAACGTCTGGTGGGTCCTGGGGTTGGGGGGGCACCCCCTGCGACCCCCCCAAACTCCTCTAACTCCCTCCCGATCCCCCCCAGTGTCTCCAAGCAACAGGCCATCATGCCCGGACAGTCCTACGGGCTGGAGGACGGATCCTGCAGCTACAAGGACTTCAGCGGTTCCCGCAACAACCGCTTCTCCACCCCCGAGCAGGCGGCCAAGAACCGCATCCAGCACCCCAGCAACGTGCTGCACTTCTTCAACGCGCCCCTGGAGGTGACAGAGGACAACTTCTATGAGGTAGGGAGCGCCTGGGGGGCGCTGTGGCCTCGACCTGCCGGGCTGTCTTCCCCTCATTCTCCTTCTCCCCTTTATCTTTTCTTTCTCCTCGCTTTTTTCTTCTTCATTTTGTTTCTCTTCCTCCCCTTCTTCCTCCACCTTCTTCCTCCCATTCTGCTTCTCCCTCTTCTCTCTCTTCCTCATTCTCCCTCTTTCTCCACCCTCTTCTTCCCACTCTCCCTCTCCCTCTTCTGCCTTTTCCCCCTCCTCTCTCTCTTCTCCCCCTTCCCTTCCTCTTCCTCCCTCCCCTCTTCCCCTTAATCCTCCCCCGTCTTTCCCCCCTCTCCCTCACCCTCTTCTTCCCCCTTTTCTCCCTCTTCCTCCCCCTCTACCTCGCCCTCTTCTCCTTTTCCTCCCTCTCCTCTTCCCCCTTATCCCTCCTCTCTTCCTCCCCCCTCTTCCCCTCCTCTTCCTCCCCTCATCCTCTCCCTCTCCCCCCAGATCTGCGATGAACTCGGGGTCAAA